CTGGACAGTTTAATATAATTTAAACGAATTTCGGCTTTAAGAGTGTTGTGCAATTACACAACGAAGATTTTTCGAAATTAATATTACTGACATCGCTGAAGTTTAAAGATCTCCAATCATGTTAACACTGGACGAGGCATTGAACACCACCAGCGACACGTGAACCGCGGACTTAACATACAATGTGGTAAGGTATTGACTATTCATTATTATAGCAAGACATTCTCTGGACTACACCACGTAATTATGCAACAAAATATTATAGCATAATTAGCTGTTACGTGGTGGCTTCTTTTCCGTTTTGTTTCTGAACGTGAAATTGGTTTTGCAGCTGTTATCTTAAGCAACGAGTTTCATAATCAGTTTTATTATTTGATGACTAGAGATCAATTAATAATCTCATCATCAATCCAGTGCCTTGTAAAGGCAAATGGCTGAACTTTCCAGATAATAAAGTCTCTGACGTCGTCCATGTCTGCATTATACAAACGTAAATTTAAAATGCGAGTCTACTCACAACTATTTTACAATAAATATAATAAAGTATCATCGGAAAGTACCCCCACGGTGGTCTAGCGGTTAGAACGGTGGCCTTGTAATCCTGGGGGTCTCGGGTTCGATTCCCGGCGGTGCCCGAATTTATAACTTGTGTTGGGCAAGGCCGTGGTCTAGGCAACACGGAGTTTTCCTCCGTGGCATCCAAACAATTACTCCATTCACACACAGAAGAAGGCAATGGCAAACCACTTCTGGATCATCTGCCAAGAACGTATATGAACAGGTCCCAGTCCGAGAAAAGGATGGAAGGATCCTGTTCATATGGACCTGTCGTCAGACAGAACACTAAATAAATAAATAAATCATCCGAAAGTCGAGAGCTAAAGTTAGATGCCAACAGGAAGTTGCACTATGAAGTAAAATATCAGCACAATGTTAATTAACACAAAGTTAAGATTATACACCTGAAGATGGTCCATTTAGAACCGAAACATGTAGTGTAAAAGATGATGCTCTAATGTAAATCGAACTTTTCGATAGAGAGCATCATTTTAATATATTTTTAATATTTAAATGTTAATTGTAATAATATTTTAATATTTAATAATATTTTATTGTGTTTAGACTGATAAAATTGAACAAGTATATATTTCAACACAATATGACGAAACATTATCATCTCACAAAGTTAAGAATCAAAGTCCATCACATCGAACCGTCTTTAGGTTTTTAAACAGCAGGGGCATTTTTTGTGGTACTACGCGTTTGTCAGACAGCACGTAATCGAATTTTTCGCGTTCGGTAAATAACTGTTCGCATTTTCACGCGCATAATCGAATCGGCGTTAAAGGCTTTTCTGCACGGCCTATTAAACACAACGCAAAAATTCGTTACTTCAGATAAACATATTTTAAATCAAACTAACTTAAAGTTAAGAAGGTCTAAGCTTGCATGGCAAATCAGTTTACTTAATTACTCCTCCCGTATTTCCCCGATATTCTCACTGTGCCATTAAGTTAAAATTTTCTCATTAATGTACGCAAACAATAATTAAGCGTATCACGTATCGCCATAATTATCCGCCATTAGATTGGCATCGATTTATTCCAAATTCCAATTTGAAACTCATTAGAGAATTTCTGCTCTCGGCTGCCTTCCACCCTGAAGAGTAACGCTTCGCTTAATACGATGATACTCCAATCTGTAACGTTTATTATGAAAAGTTGCAATTTAATTTAACGAATCCAACCATCAACATCATCTTCATTAATCTCAGACTACAAGAAGAAAAAACTAAAAAAAGCAGTAATTTACGTAGGGTCTCGCCCCTTTACTTAACTTTCAAATATTGCGTTTGGTTACGTTCAAAACATAAAACAGATCCATTGTCAGAACATAGATGCGCAGGCTTGATTTACTGAAACGTCCTTGGTAAATAATTGGGACCAGGGCTCCATAAAAAAAAAGCCTGCAACTGCTAGTGACGTAACAAACTTCATCCAACTTACATCTTCTCGTCATTCCTTCCTCATTCCTCCCTTCCCTCGCAGCACATAGTATAAAACTACAACTGCAAATGTTAATATGATAATTTTATTCTCTCCCCCCCCAAAAAAAAAACCCAGACAAGATCCAACATACGATAATAATGAAATGCAAATGAGTCACGGCACTAATCGCTCCTCAATACCCAAATAAACTGTAGTTCCAAACTTCGCAAAGTCAAATTTTAACATTAACCATGAACCATTAAAGTCACACATCTTATTTGTCAATGTCCAACGTAGAGATAGCTTATGTTACCACTGTTTCAGAATTACTTCTATAAAAGCATTTTAATCGCAAACAACTCAAAGCCAATTACATCAGAAATGACAAAGCACGTCCAGGATGTTGGGTGGGGGTTTTCCCCTATATCGTGATGGTCTATATACCAGAATTATCGATTTCACGCGGAACCACAGAGGGCGTGACACAGCAAAATGTTTTTGACGAACACAAAAAGGATCGAGAGATGTGATATATATCGAAGTATTCAGTGATTCATGGCTGATGCCGGCTACACAACACAATGAAGACGAAATTACGTCACGGGGAGTCAGATTAAGGTGCATATTGTGTTTGGAAAGAATGCCTATTTATTATTCGTGAGAAAATGACAAGGGACCTACCAATAGCCCAAACACCAATTCAGAACCTACAAAACAATGTTCATTTATCTGACAAAATTTACAATTCAAATTATGTTGAAGCACAGACGTGAAGAAATGGTGAAGTCGATGTTTAAAAAAAATACTCGTTAAACTTCACCTGCACAATTTAAACTATTTTCAAACGGCTATAACCACGTGAATGTAGTTGTCCTTTCAGCCTTTTGAAGCCGAAGATGGAATAACTTATATTTAATAATCCAGCCCGTACCGCGAAGAAAACAACTCACCTCACCATTACATAGAACAAGTTCAAGGTAATCGATAACTATTTATATCGAGAATTACACGCGACATAAACAAAGTCTCTGAGCAAAATGAAGATTACTGATCATTAAATCAGGTGGTACGTATAATTACCACTTTCTCTGAAGGGTTAATACTGTGAAGTTCGTGTACTGCAACTGGGAAGTGCAAAACCCAAAATTTCGAGGGGGCAGGATTCGGCTACAATTCCTCACCAAGACCTGTACCACGCCCAATCGAAACGTGGCAGGCGAAGCGTACAGAGTCTGCGCAAATGACGGGGCCAAGGGCGTCGTCCTCGTACCCCCATTCAGCCGACGGTGATATCCCTTCCCCCCCACCCCCACACACACTTTCACCCTCGCAGTGCAAACCAGACAAGAGATGACGATCTACGAACCCCCCGAACGGTGGCCACTTCTCACGTCCATAATCGATTTCAAATTATTCCTGATTGCAACTCACTGAAACCGCCATTTGTCCGTTCACATCTGAAAAGCGGGCCCTGACATGGGGACTCCCCGACGTTTCTTACTAATTAACTCACATAAGGAGTTACGATAATCGCATGACAGCGATCGGTAAACCTAGATTCTGTTGACAGGTTACGGTAAATAATCACGCAGTCAAATGTAATCTTCGTGCATGCATAAGTAACGCAGTAGTTCCCAAAACTGCTTCGCAAACCTGTCATTAAGTGCGACAATGATTTTCACTTACGCAAATGCGAGCTACGTATCCGTAGAACGACGGTAGTCGAGGCCTGTTACAGGACGGACGATCCGGGTTAGACTCCACGAATAAAACTCCCACGGAAATTAAAACGTGACTGTTATTAATTCGGCACAAGTTGATCTTTCTCGTATTTTTTTTGGTAACCAAGACAAATTTTCTGCTGATAAGCGGTTAACAACCACGAAATAAGGGATTCCAAATAAAATAAGTAGCTAAATAAATTCTTAATCCATCTTATCATTTCATGTCTAGACTACGAAAGTGATTTTACACTTAATTTCGTATTTAATTCCATAATACACAAAATTACTTTTCGTATTATCTTAAAACCAGTGTCAAGTCGAAGCCGTGGCCTATTATTCTTCTCAGAAGGCTCAGTAAAATGTTCGTGAGACTCTAAAATACGTAGGTCGTGTAGATTAATATCTATGACAGTGTTATCTAAGTTTTCCAACGCAATTATTCGACGATGTTCACAACTTACAACCGTTTTTATCCCATACCGAAAACGTCGTTACATTCATAACGATGAAACAAGATAATAAATTAATTTATAGCAAGAGAAATATATGACCTCATCATTTACACTAATTGTTCACTGCATGATTCTACTCGACACGTTCCACGAATTTAGGGGCCGACATTCCCTGACCTTCGTTCATCCTACGTATTGGCTGCAAATCAATTCCTCGTTCCGCTCTGAAAAACCAAGACGACAGCACAAATCACGACGTCTTTTATGGTCAGAGAAATGTCTGCAGACATTTAATGTCATGACGTGACAAACAGAACTGCAAGTAAGTTATTTCTTGTAAATGCTGGCTTCGATTAATAATACAATCCACCTACGGGTTCCAAGAATTGTTCTCTTGAGATTTATAAGACGAAAGGAAGTTTATCGGCGCTACATTGTTTCTAACTTCCTCAAACTGAAATTTCTATACATTACGCAAGGACTGGGTGAATATATTGCTGGAAATGTCAAAACTTGAGTCGAAATCAATTCAATCAGATCCAACCCATAAAAAAAAAAAAACTGTCCACAACACGAAAGCAATTAATTGAGTGGATGTGATAATTATTTACTTTCATTTTTCAGCGCACGTTAAGACTGTCTGTCGGCGAAACACGTCCCCGCAACTCGCTGAACCAACATTCCAATATAAGATATAACGTTTTAAACACGAATTAATTCTTTCACGTTTCTCATCGCTCATTTCCGGACAAAGCCAAAGATATCGCCGGTCATAAGGTATCTTGACACACACACACACACACACCCCCCCAGTACTTCGTACAGCCGCGTCTTACCTGATAGTACAGTCTTGTCGTCTGCCAAGGACACTGGGGTAGCAATCCCGCTGTCAGTACCACCTCCGGGTTGATTATTGTTATTATTGTGAAAATCTCTCTGGAGTCTGAGTTCTGGAGCCAGTGGACTACGTTCGGAGTCAGTCCAATGTCCCGCGCTCACTCCACTGTCCGATCCTGAACTAAAATCACCACCACCGCATAGCAGAGGATCCCGTTTTCCTGGTTTACCACCCGCGGGTTTGGAATACACCGGGGGAGGTTCCAAATGCTGCTGATTCCACGCGGGTTGTTGTTGGCTCGCGGTTTCCAGATACCGTACCTGGTACTGTTGTTGTTGTTGTTGTTGTTGTTGTTGCTGTTGTTGTTGTGGAACTAACCGAACCTGAGATGCCTGTGATCGACGCGAGGTTGCCACGACGTTGCGTGGGGTCGGTAAATTGTTTATGAAGGGACTTCGCCGCTGGCTTTCGGCTCGTCGGTAGTAACAGGGGTGGATCATCAGTAAAGGTTCACTTCTGGCACCATCAGGCGGTTTGGCTTGATTTGGAAGTTCATATTCCACACTGCAGTCCACGTGCAGTGGCCTGCTATAATCTTTGTGAGGAGCCTGAGAACAGTGGCGAGTCGCTGTGGGAGGTGGGCCAAGATCGAAAGTGGAATAGCACGTCGCCATATCACAACACACAAACAAAAAAAATATAAATGCTCGCACACACCACAAAAAAACACAAGCACTTATGTCACTATACACACTTGACAGTTGCCGGCGCTAAGCTGAAGAGCCCATAGCAACAACACAGCACGACAGTCTCGCCTCAACTGCAATGAGAACTTTAGCTTCCGAAGTGATCACTGACGGCGCTACTAGCGTTACCCCCACCACTCGACAGTTACGTCAGGCCAGCCAGTGAAACCAGTCAATGGAAACTCCCAACACCATCTCGTAGCGAAAACGCAAACTAAATATAAAAAAAAAAATCGGTAACTTCGCTGTTAAGATTTCTCGGGACGCTTTAAACGACCTGTCGTCATTTGTCTCTTCTATATTCTGACAAAAACGAATGGATGCGACAACATGTAACACAGAGTTTACATTCGGCTGAGACTACATTCCGAGGAAAGGGTCAGAGATTAACTATATATGTACATATTCAAGAAACGTAGAAACGTTTTAAGCAAAGATCATTTCGTTCATCTGATAAAATACTCGGCAGTATTTGTCCATGGCGAGACAACAAGAGGGCTAAACCTCTTAACTACGAAGATCATACAAATAACATTTAAGAATTCAGTCCGTACCGCGAAGAAAACACTACACTTCACCATTACAAAGATCGACTGGTTAACGCTGTTTAAGGAAATGATCGATGTTTATTCTGAGTATCGTAAGTAACCCATAGATGTATTGTAGTTACTGAATATTAAAGCAGCTGGTATATATAGTTACCACTGGACTTTAAAGGCTTACGAGCCACGTGTTCCACCCTGTCTCAAGACAATGAAATTAGAACATTCTTTTTTCTAGTCCGAACGTCATTGGTAACTGAAGGTAAGCGTGTTTTTTGTTAACTGTACAAATTATTTGGAACTTCTGCAGTTAACAGGGAAAAAGTTTCTTCCTTCGAAAGTTAGTCTGCAACGCTTTGTTTTTCGAGAACAATTTTCTTTTGGGGGCCTGTTTCACAGCACACTGATTACTTAAGTTACAACACATTACTACAATCCCTCTTCCAAAACAATAAAAGAAATTTATCAGATACCTCACTTATATGGTTTCTGCGTGCGGGCAGAGGTCGCGTCTATAAATATGTCGGCCCTGTTTTTTTATCTTGGATAATAAATATATATTATTTAAATCTTCACGACATGTAAATCGAATATTTCGATAAAG